TGCTCTGAAGTCTAAAGAGGCAGGACAGCAGTGTTATTGAAACCTGGTTGAGAGCTAGGTAATCGTTTCTACATAAGCTCAGGCAAGTGACTTGATCTTTCTGGCTTCAGTTGTCTCATCTGTGAAGCAATGTGTTTCAAGGTTGTTTTGAAATAACCCATACAAAAGCAACTGCAAAAGAATTACTCATTAGAATTATCCCTCATCTAGCTTTGCACTCTGCATCTTATATAGTGTTTTTGTGTCTTTGTTAGTAATCCTTCAACCCACAGCTGTGACCGCAGCCACCCAAGCTTCACTATTGATTTTCTGAAGAGTTTCCTGGGACAAAAGAAAAATGGATATCTATCCTCATCCAAAGATATAGATCAGAAAAAGAAAGGAATAACACAGAATGAAAAAAGTTCTCACTCAATGAAATCCATGTTCCTTACTCACCTATAATTCCTGATAACAAATGGAAATTGAATGGTACCTCCAGGGGTGCCAAAGCATTTTCCCTACTCTCTCTAGGTGTCTGCCCAGAATCTGAGATTTAAAATTTGCTCTTCCTTGGCCAAGCCTAAAGACATCTAAAAAGATTAAAGTAGTTCTGGACCTATTTTGTTGAGGCAGAATCATCTAGGATTCCTTTCATGGGTTAGACATTTCTACAAAACCAACGATTTTGCGAGCAGATTTCTAAGTCTGGACCTATTCAATTAAACACAATACCATAAGTGAAAGCTGTGATGTCACATAGCTAGAAATAGCTTTGACATTTGCAATTACAAGTCTGTCTTTCTTTATTGAATATATTGCCAGTATTTTCAGAGCTAAAAGGGAACTTGGAGACCATTTAGTTGAATTCCTTCATTTTTCAGATGAAGAAACCTGAAATACAACAAATACAGAATAAGGATTCAACTTGATCCCTAGATTGCTACACTAGACCCCTTCTTAATGGAGCACAGAACTTTATATTAAAGATCTATAATCAAACAAAAGTTTCTGAGATATTAATTTTGGATAGTAAATATTATAGGGTATTCGCTTTTTAAATGAGCCCAGCAATTAATTGATTTGTGACAGAAGTTATTTAAAATAGGCACACCAGGCAGTGCTCACCACAACTTTATAAGTGTCCCACAACTTCATCTGGGAGAAAGAAGATACTTCCTTGTTGACAGAAAGTAATCTATCATGAGTCCTAATTTTCTCATTTTCTTAATGGTATGTAATCACTTAATCATTTTTTTAAATTACTATAATAATTCTGTCTCCTTGATTTCTCTCTCTGCAAATAGCAGTTGTCCTTCCTCTACTAATTTCAATGGCTTTCAAATACTGCTGCCTGCTCTATATTTCAGGGATGACTTCTAACTGCTTCAGTTACACAGACCCGCCAACAGCACCCTGTTTGACTTAACTCAGATGCCTCCAGATCTGAGTAACTGGAGAGTTGAGCATTTTCAGGATCTGCATGTCAGTTCTGTAGTATAATGACTGATGTCAGCCCAAACTTTGCCAAACATCTCTCATCACTACTAGTTCTATCCCATTCTAAATCGTGGGGCTTGCTCTCCCTCTCTGGAGCACACCCCCTTACACATACTTGCAGTATGGATGCAACAATATGACAATCATTTTCTCTTCTTCGAGTGCCACTGCTGCACAGGACAAAAATAACTTGTTACTGTTTGTCACTGCCTGGTGGGGGAGGTGGTAAAGGAGAGATGAGAAGTTTCACGAACTACTCTGGATGTGTTTAATCCACTATCATTGTCCAAAGCGATTCTATTCTTCTAGCTCCAATCTCTTAAACTCCTGGTTACCCAAGCCCCTTGGAACTTGAGAGTTTTCTGGAGAAAAATAACAAGCAAATGTTGACTTCTAGGCTGAGCCTATGGTTTTTAACTTGCTTTTTAGGCTTGGGCCCTGGAAATCATTGGCAGCCCAGGCTTCTGTGAGTGTTGCTTTCTTGATTTAAAAAAAAAAAATGGGAGGGGGTACTATGTTGCACAAAATAAGCCAGGGCATGCTTTCCATAAGCTGCTAGGACAGTTAAGGGAATGTGGGACTCAGCCAGGCAAGTAAACACACATTTAATAGTACGCTAACATGGATCAGGGAAAAGTTCTAAAGCATAGCGTCAAGAGAGAAAGAATACGCTCGCCGTTTATTTAATGTTTTCCTTATGTTTCCTCCGACCAGCACTATTCCTTGACAAGCTTTTCCTGCCCGCTGCATCTAGTGCTTCTTTTCTGGGGTGGCTCAAGAGCTACAGCTTCTCACTTCGCTTGTTTATTTATTTAGACTGCCATTCCCATTCTCTTCCAAACTAACACATGTCTGCACAACGCACAGTGAAAAGTAAATGTCTTTCTTCATGTTTATTTCCCTGAGGTTGTTCACCAAATTGCTTTTTTACATCCCTTTTGCAATCTCATCCCATCCGGTTCAAGTATCCTGGATTAGAATGGCCTTCTCTGGAGTCCTTTTCAAAGGGAGCCTCCCACAGCCTTTAAATCCCCCACATTTTATGGTACAGATATTCAGGATCTGCGGTATTAAGTGAGAAGGAAGGCACAGCTGAGTGTGACCGGCACAGAAAAATAAAGTAGCTTATTTTTTTTATGGAGAATCATTATTGGAATTGTCCTGTTATTGGTAACGTTTCTGGTTCTAAGTGATACACTCAGTCATTTGCAAGTGGATATTATGTAACAGAAAAAGGAGGAGAATGTGTGTGTGCTTGTGAGTGTGTGTGTGTGTGTGTGTGTGTGTGTGTTGCACAGAAAATGCAGTTCCACCCCAGAAAGAGAAATATTCAAATGGGAAGTCTTAAAAAATAAGCCAAAAATCATAATCTTGATAGGATTGTTGCGGTGGTTGTCTTCCTCATAAAATACAGCCTAAAGAAAACTATTCCTACCTTTGAAATTCCAACACAAGTGTGCAAAGTAAGAAATTATATTTAATTAAGGAATTAGCATGGAAAGGCCAGTCTCTCAGGTTCTAATTTTTAGCAACTTGGCAGGAATTCACATTTTCTGATTCTCTCCTTTTGTATCCAGGCCATTTCATCTCCCCAACCCTCACTTTTGGGATGTTTAACAGCTACACCACTAAAGACCTCAGAGACTTACAACAATGTGAAGCATTGCAAGCTTGCAAAATGGGGTGGATAGGGGCAATAATCTTGTTTTCTCCTCTCATTTATCAACACCTACGCTGAAGGCAACCTAGTACTGGGGGTCACAAGCGGAGGAAAGAAAAAGGAACACAAATCTTCCTTGCTTTCCTCCAAGGCTTCAGCTATTTTCTAAACCTAAATTATTGGGCATAAATATTACCAAGGTGTCTATGAATCAAGGATCTTTTTAAAGTGACCTCCCAGACGTTCGGGGCTGTGTAACCGTGTCATGCTACACAGTGTGGTCCTGCAGATATTCCATTACAATCATAGGACAGGTCTGTATTGAAATCCCTTTGGGGGCTTGTGACTTTCAACTAAATGCTTCTTCAGTAACTACTGGAAGCCCATCAACTTGTGCTACCGCAGAAAGGAGGTGGGAAGCTTACCACTGACTAATGACAGCCAGGGTGTACTCCACTCAGAAGGGCTAGCCCTGGGCTCACCCGCCCCCGGCCACCCAGGAACCTCATTTTCCGCTGTCCTGGGGCCCCTACCTCCGCTGGGAACAGAAGGAAGTAGTAGACCCTCCTCTCCTCCCCCAATACCAGGAGAAACCTTTTCAAATGTCACACCCAGTCCCCCAGATGAGACACCAAATGGCATAACAGATCTTCTCCGGAAGATTGGGAGACTGAGGGTGAGAGAGCCCAGCGAGGGCAAGTGACTACGAGGGAACTGCTTGGGGGAGGAGGCACCGTCCTCGGCCAGGCTCAGTTTGGAAGAAAACCGCCGCGTAATTGAATTTCCAAAGGGACAATCCCGAGCGCACACACCTCTGGGTCCTACCGGCTCCGGTCAGGTAACCCGCGGCAGCGGCGACCTCCCTCCCGCAGCCACTGAGCTTCCTCCGGACCACCCGCCCCGCGCCTCACTGCAGCTACTTTTATTGAGAGAAAGGGAGGAAAGCAACAGAGGAGAGGCTTTCAAAACAAAACAAACAAACAAAAAACTGGGAAGTTGTCCGCAGCCAGAAACCCTCCAGCAATCTGCCAAGCGGTCAAGGGGCGAGCTGCCCAAAGCCCCGTCACTGCGCGCCGCGC